GCTGGTGGCTCCCGCGGGCGGCACCAGAGGGCGCCGCGCTCCTCCAGCCCTCGGTCCTCGGCAGGTGCACGGGTGGGGTGGAGGTGCGCGCCGCGCGGCTGGGGCGGCTCGGCCCCTCCCTGCCCTCCGGGGACCTCTGCGGCTTTCTTCCTGAAACACCGACGCGCCGCGGCGGGCGGGCGGGCCGGGTGCCGGGGCACAGGGACCTTGGGAGCTCGACTCCGCGTTTGCTTCAGCGCGGCGTGGGGACCCCAGGACACAGGCACCGAGCCGGAGGAGAGAGGGAGGCCGAGGGCCGGCGGGCGGAGGTCGGGACCGGCCGGTGGCTGGGGCCACCTCTGTGCGCAGACTCCAGCCAGCGGGGGCTGTGCGTGCGGGGTCTCCCAGGCAGGCAGGGCCACACCGCCGTGGGGTCTGCACCCGGGTGTTTGTCTGTGGCCTGGGCCAGGCCTGGTCCACTTCCCCTGAAGGCAGCCCTGCCTCAGCCCCTAGGTCTTCTGCGCAGGGGTTCGCAGGCCTGGGCTGGCCCTGAGGCTCGGGGGTTCTTGGAAAGACAGTTTTGATGGATCTGGGGGTTCACAAGGAAGTGCCTGTTAACATAGAGAAGGGCTCTGTTTTTAGACCAGTTTTAACTTCTCTCTTGCAGAATCACCCCTCGAGGCCGAAGTTGGGGTGAGGCTTTTTGTTTTTGGTACTGGGGAGCCCAGGGAGTGCTAGGCGACATCCTCAGCCCTTTTTGCTTTTAATCTTATTTATTTTATTTTATTTTATTTTATTTTTTTTGGTACTGGGAGTCAAACTCAGGGCCTTGTGCTTGCCAGGCAGGCGCTGTGCCGCTGAGCTATTTCTTACCGTACTGGGCACTAAACCCAGGACCTTCCCACAGAGCTACATCCCCTGTCATGGTTTGTGTCTGGATGTCCCCTCAAAGCCTCATGCAGTCATGGGGCGGGTTCTAGAGATTCTGATTGACTCATGGTCCAATGCTGGGATTATAGGTATGAGGGCTACACCTGCCCTGGGACGGGCACCCTGCATACAGTATGAGGGAGGGAAAGGGGCTTGCCTGCTGCTGCTGCTCCCTTTTGGCTCTTGCTGCTTTTGCTGTTTTCCTCAGGCAAGACCTGTTGCCCTCTGCCATGTGTCACCCTGCCTGGGAGCCAGCTGAGTATGGACTGAAACCTCCACAGACTGTGACTAAATAAGCCTTTCCTTTCTTAATTCTGAGTGTCGGGTATTTTGTCTCAGTCATGAGAGGAAAGTAACTAAGACATCCCTCAGCCTTTTTTTCTATTTTTTATTTTCAAACAGAGTTCTCGCTACATCACCAAATTGGGCCGAGAATATAGCTCAGTGACATAAGTGTCTGCCTGGCAAGCACAAGGTCCTGAGTTTGATTTCCAGTGAATCACCAAATTGCCCAGGCTGGGTTTGAACTTGGGATCCTCCTGCCTCAGCCTCACTCAAAGTGCCTGGCTCATTTCTTTTATTTTGAGGTGGGATCTCACTAAGTTTCCCATGCTGGCCTTGAACGTGCCATTCTCCTGCCTCAGCCTCTTGAGTAAATGGGGTTACAGGTGTGCACCACACCTGGGCACTGTGTGAGCTTTGACAAAGGGACAGTGATGTTTCCCCCATTTCAACACCCTTTAGGTGAGTTCTGATTTCCTAAAAACTTCCCTGCTCACCTGTTCACCCCCTACTTTGCCTCAGTTGACCAAAGCTCACAGCAGTCCACCTGCCTCAGCCTCCCCACTGCTGGGCTGGTAGATGTGCACCAGCATGTTGGGCTAGTTTCTCTTTTGCGGGCTGGGTTCTGTTGGGGTCCCGGCCAGGCCAGGGGTGGGGGTTTACGCTGTCCCAGCAGGGAGACCAGGGCTTGGGGAGCTGGGGGGCTCCCGCCTGCAGGCCGGACAGCGGGCTGAGCACAGACTACCTCGTGGCTTAGCCATGTCCTGCGTGTGACGGGGGCAGCCACACCAGGTTGTTTTTCTTTTTTCTTTTTTTTTGGGTTTTTCTCCGGTACAGGTTGTTTTTCACTGAGACGTAGTTTGGGGAGAGCCCCAGAGGGCACTGGAGCCCACCGTGGCCTGGTGAGTGCCGGGCACCTCCCTGGGGGCTGTGGCAGCTCCCCAGACACTGCTCCAGGGTCCCCGCTGGCCTGCCCTGCGGTACCCACACTTGGGGCCGGAGACTCTGGCCAGAAGAGCCGGAGTCTCTGACACGGTTGCCCACTGCCGCTCCAGGCAGGAGGGTGTGTCAGAGTGAGGGGCGACGGGGCTCACACAAGTCCCCGCCTCCTCCCCGTGGCCATTTATATTCAGGTCCAGGGCCGCGGGGGACAGAGCTGGCAGGGTCTGCAGGGCGCCGGTCTCAGAGGCCTTTCCCCGCCCAGCCAGGCTTGGCCCCCGCAGCTCTGAGCGGTGCTCCTGGTGCCGCCCACGCCAGGGTGGCCTTGTCCAGAAGTGGGTCGCAGGGCCCGGGTGTGGGCAGGTGTAGTGGCGGCGTCCCTGGACGGCGGCGTCAGCACTTCGGGTTATTTATGAACTCTTCTATTTGCCGGGACAAGCCTCCCTGTACTCAGTTGCCATGGTAGCCTTAAGCCCGGCATCTTATTAATTCTGCATGTTATAAAATAAATATACATCAGACAATCGAGGTGAAGGTTCTATTTTTTTATTATGCATTTGGTTCTTGCAGGGCGGGATGCTCCTGGCCCGGCTTCCCTCTTCCCTCCGCGCACATCCATCAGGCCCAGCGCCTGCGCACTGGAGCTGAGAGCGCGGGGGCGGGGCTTCCAGATCCTGAGCCTCCGCCCTGCGCTGGGTAGCGGCGGGTGCCCGGGGCTCGGGCGTGCAGGGACGGGGACCTGCGGGGGGCGGACGTGTTGTCCCTGAGGGTCGGGAGGAGGTCGGGCTGCCGGGCTCTCTGTCAGCCTGGCTTCTCTGAGTCTGCCACCCTGGCCCTCCAGGCCCGCGCCGCACCTGGGAGACCACCTCCGCGCCCACTTCCCATGCGTGCAGCCGCGGAGCCCCTACCCCACCTCCCACGGTGACCAGGACCCAGCGGGGCCTGCTCCCTGCCCGACCCTCAGCAAACCCCACCGTGCACTCGCAGCTCCTCACCGTGTGCCCGCGGCAGCCCGGTCCTCCTCGGCCTGCCACCTCCCCTCTTGGCTCCTGGGGCCGGGCAGAGGGGCTTGAGTCACAGACAGGGGGCTCTTGGGAAAGACTTCCTCCCCAGTCTCCCTCCGTGGGCGGGAGCAGCAGCCTCAGCCGGCCAGGCCTCAGCTTCGTCTGACCCCGGGCGGGCGAGGCGGGCAGGGTGGCAGGAAGGGCAGCCACCCGGCTCTGCAGCATGGAGGGCGCGCCCTGGATGAGGCCCGTAGCCTCGGCCATCTGCAGGGAGGGGCCCAGCGAGCACAGGCCCTGCTCCCGGCCGGCTCAGTGCTGGGGTTTCCAGGGCACCGGTTTGCTGGAGTCTGGGCCTGGGGCAGCTGGGCCACCTGGCAGCGGTCAGCAGGTGGCACCTGTGGGCTGGCGGCCCATCGATCCCGGCAGGCGGCCAGCAAGTCCCGCTCAGGGCTCCCGGCCCCCAGGGCCCGATCAGGGCATCGACAGAGCTGCGCTCTTGCCATTTAATTAAGCTCAGTTTAATTAAAAACCCAGAGTTCTTTATTAGACTGCGTAATTGATTTAATTTTCTGTGGGATTCAAGTGCCAAACACCCCTACAGTAGGGGCTCCTCAGTCCTGCGGCAGAAGGAGAAGCTGCCCTCTCTGTGGGGTCTGCCCTCACCCTGTGGCCACCACGTCCCCAGCCGCTGCCTGGCCCTGAGCGGGACACCCAGTGGGAAAGAGCCAGGCCTGGCTGGCCCTGTTGGGTTAAGGTGAGACTGCTGGAGGCCCCCTCAGGCGCCCACACAGGATGGGGTGGCAGTGGATTTCCTGGTGCCCCAGGCAGCAGTGACCTGGGGCTGCCTCTGTGGGGCTCTGGGCAAAGCATGGGGAAGACTTTCGGAAATCCACTCTCCAGTTTATTTTCTTTCCTTTTTGTTTGTTTGTTTTGAGGCAAGGCCCCAATATGTACACCCAGCTGACCTCAAGCTTACAGCAGTCCTCCTGCCTCAGCCTCTCAAGTGCTGGGATTACACAGTTGGCAGTGGCTTATTTTATAAAGGGGTGATCCTGTCCAGCTGCCTTGGGAATGAGAGAGCCTCATGCCTGAGGGCAGGGGCCCAACCAAGGGTGGTTCCCCTGGAGCCAAGGTCCCCAGCTCTGCAGCACAGGCAGTGGCCATGCCGGATCTCCCTGACCCAGGAGGCAGTGGACACATTGGACCCGTGTCTCTGAGAATCTGCCCCACCTGCAGTCATGGTGCTGGGAGGGTGCATGGGTAGAGGGCCCCATTATTGACAGCTGGGAAGGCCTGGACGAGCTCCTTCCCACTGAGGCAGCCCGCGCCAGGGGCACCCAGTGCCGAGGACCCTCTGCAAGGTGCCTTCGTCCTGCTGGGCCCGGGAAGGGCCACTCGAAGGGGCTCACAAGGCAGGAGGAGGAAAGAGCCACATCTGCCTCGGGGAGGGGGAAGGATGAACACCCGCCTCATAAAGGACAGTGCTGATTCTTGCTAAAATGCAGCTGGGGGCTGGGGATTTAGCTCAGCGGCAAAAGCACCTCCCTGGCAAGCGCAAGGTCGTGAGTTCGGTTCCTGGTACCGGAGAAAAACCAAAAAAAAAAAAATAATAATAATAATAAAATGCAGCTGGACCTTGGGGACGTTCTGCTCAGTGGTAGAAGCCAGGCCCAAAGCCCCGTGCCACGTGCTGCTTCTGCGGAGTCGTCCAGAGGGCAGAGGGTCCGAGTCAGCATAGGCGCCGGGCCGGGGAAGGTCCAGCCTGCTTCTCCCTCAATCCACCTGCCCCTCTCATGCCCTCCCACGCTGGCCCCTCCCTGGACACCTCGCTGCAACACACTCAGGAGGAGCACCGAGGATCCAGGCGTCCCAGGACCGAGGCAAACGGAAGATGCACTTCTTCACCTGTACGCACGCAGGGCTTGAACACAGCACATCATGTAGCCATGGCCACTCCATCCCCAGCCCGACACCTGTCCCCACTGTACACTGCTGCCCTGGGGGACCTTGCGTGGGAACCCACGGCCCTGTCCATCTGACAAGCTGAAGGTTCCTCCACCTTACAGCAGGAATCAGGGCCTCTCGCTCTTCCCTGCCTTCTTCCTTCTTTTTGTGGGTACTGTGGTTTGAACCCAGGGCACCCTGACACTGAGCTAATCCCCAGCCTTTCTTCTTTCTTTCCTTTTTTCTTTTTCTTTTCGAGGTAGAGCCATGTTACATTGCTAAGTTGCCCAGGTTGGCTTGAACTGGCGATCCTCCTGCCTCAGCCTCCCAGAGTGCTGGGGTTATTTTTCCTTCCCTCTCTTCCTTCCCTCTTGCCTCCCTTCTTTATCTTTTCTGCAGTACTGGGGTCAAACCCTGAGCCTCACATATGCTAAGCAAGTGCTGTACTATTGAGCCATATTCTCAGTCTTTTTTTTTTTTTCTTTTTGAGACAGGATTTCACTGTGCAGTTCAGGCTGGTCTTGAGCTCACTTTGTAATCCAGGCTGGCCTCAAACTCACAGCGATCTTCCTGCCTCAGCCTCCCGAGTGCTGGGATTACAGGCATGTGCCACCACACCTGGCTCCCCAGTCTATTTTAAATTTATTTTAAGACACAGTCTCACTAAGTTGCTCAGGCTGACTTCAAACTTTCAGTCCTCCTGCCTCAGCCTCCCATGTAGCTGGGATTGCAGGTATGCACCACTGCATCTACTAGGGATTTTTTCCAGTGAGGAAAATGCCTCAGAGTGGGTGGAAGTGATGGTCGCACACCTGTGGAGTGGTGCACTTTACCTTGGTGAATTTTGTGGGATGCGATCACATCTCTTGCTCCTTTAAAAATTTTCAGCGCTGAGCATCAAGCATGGTAGGTGAGTGCTGTGCCGTGGAACCACCCCCATAGGGTGTAATTAAGATGAATTACATCTTAATCAGGGTGTTATACACAAAAATAGAGGGTTGCTAGAGGTGGAGAATGCCAGCAATCCCAGCTACTCGGGAAGCTGAGGCAGGAAGATTACAAGTTTGAGGACAGCCTGGGGAACTTAGTGAGACCCTGAATCAAAATTTTTAAAATTTTGAAAGTTTGGGGATGTAGCTCAGTGCTTGCCTAGCGTGGACCAGGCTTGGGTTCAATCCCCAGGACTACAAAGAAAGAAAGATTCAGCTGGACCCGGCCCCAACCTGTCCCATGAGGTCCGGCCTTCCCAGCCAGGCCCTACGACTGAGCCATTATGGCTCCCAGGGGAATCATGGTGCCAGCCATCCTTCCTGTCAGGCCCGGCCTCCCGGCACAGCCCCTCCGGGCCCTGGGTCCCTGTGTGGGTGGTGGCCACTCGCCGTCCCTGCTGCCCTCCCTACACTTCAACAGCTCAAGGTCGGGGCAACCCACCACCTCTCAGGGGACGCTCGGGGAGTTCCCAGGTGGCCGGGGGACCCGGGGCCGGAAGCCAGCTGCACCAAGCGGGGCTCCTGTTGCCCATGCTAGGCCCCTCAACATAGCCCTGGGCACCAGGGGTGGTTCCAGGGACCCACAGGGCACCGGGTTCAGCCGGGAGCCTTCCCCCTCCCCCATCACGGCTCCCTCGAGACCAGCGCCGTGGACCCCAGGCCCCTGTTGCAGCCCCCACGCCTGCTTTCCATTCTAATGGGCCTGGCTGTGCTGGGCCCTGTGCCTATCGATTTTCTCTATTTTACTGGTTTAAGTTAATGACTAGAAATCCCAAACAAATAAAATTTCCTTTAAAAACTCCAAGAGATCAATGCATGAGGGCTGAAATCACTATTCTATGGGCCAGAGGGACAGTCCCTGGGGCCGCTGGGGGCCGCTAGGCTCTGCTGCTAGTGGCCCGAGGCCTCCTGGGGGCTTTCGAGGGCTCTGGGTGGGGTCAGGGGTGCCTGGGATGGGGAGGCGGTTTAAAAGGCTGCCTACGGGCTGTAAAAGTGGGAGAATTTAGAACATATTGTCTGTCTGCTTCCCTGTGTCCCCAGTGGCTTTGGGGCAGCGGGGGGCTCTGCGGGTGGACATGGCCCGGCCGTGGCAGAGGCCCTGGCTCAGAGGCTCCTGCCTGAGCTGGGTCGGCCCGGGAGGCCCTGGGTGGGGAGGGCTGTGGGCGTCCCTGGATGAAGGGTCCTTGGGGACAGCAAAGAGTAGTGGTGACCGGCCCTGCGCCTGGCAGCCCCAGCCCTGTGTGTGGATGCAGATGGCGAAGTTCTGGGCGCACCGAGTGCCGAGACCCCAGCCGGGTCGGCCGTGGAGCCTGAACCTCTGGGTGACCAGAGAGTCACAGCCCTGCAGCCCCTGAGGCCCAGCTTGGGGCCCATCTGCCCTTTTGATCCCCAGGTGTTGGGGCGGCTGAGAGGCCAGTTCATCTTGTAAAAGGGGGTGCTGAGGCAGAGCTCTGCAGGGGAAGTCTCAGCTACCCCTCCTCTGGGAGACCTGGACCAAGTCCCGTCCAGAGCTCAGACTGGGTGGGACACTGGGGCAGCACAGGGGAGCAGGGAGGGGACAGCGGCCTTCCCTCTGCCTCCCAGGCCTGCACCCCCGTGCGTGAAGGACCAGCCAGACGCCCTGTGCCCAGGGCATGTAAGCCAGGCCCTTCCACCCCATCCGAGGCCCGGAAGGCACCAACCGGGCTCCAGATCTAAACCACAGCAGGGAGGGCCACGGAGAGGGTCCCGGCCACGGCTTGTCACAGCCACTCGGCAGGGTTTTGAAGCCGCCCTCCAGGGCCCTAGCTGAGGGCCATCAGAAGCTGGGTGAGGCGGTGCTGGATGTCTGAGGGGTTGCAGTGCCCCCCCAGGGCTCCAAGTGCTGCAGGGCGGGGTCCAGCCGATCTGTTTTCACCCCTTCTTCCCAGCCCATTCTCCGGACAGCCTAGGGCTCAGAAGGGTCAGTTTCCCTTCAGGGACATGCGCAGCCTTTGCGGTGCCCTGGTTCCTCTCCACATCATGGACGGAGCTCAGCAGGAGGCCGCAGCTCTGACAGGGCTTTCTGTCCGCTCAGAGCCCAGGTGGTGTCTGGACAGTTCCAGGGGACTAAAGCTGTCCCCAAAGCCCCACAGGTCTGGCCATCTCCCCTGTCCAGGCCTGTGGATCCTCCCACAGCCCCCAGGCCCCCAGAGAGAGCTGCAGCTTCTACAGCCGGTGTGTGAGCTGGTGGCCCCTTTCTTCCTGTCCCCGAGGTGGAGTCTCCAAGGGACTTCCCGCCATGCTGGAAGCAGCCCTGAGGACCCCAGAGTCACCTTCCAGAAAGGCCTGCACTCGTGTGTGCATCTGCGTCTGGGTGCGGTGTGTGGCCACGCACGGTGTCTGCGTGCTGGTGTGTAATTCATGCACATTCACAGC